CTATATTCATGCTGAACTTTTTAAATTTTCACGTTAAGTCCTTTATTTGGTGGAACATTATGTCTTTGACTATCATGTAAATCTGAAAAAGTATCTAAATTTTTTTTTAATTTTAAATCGAAAAAAATGATTAATGCCTCCTAATATAACCAGTGATAGGGATTTTGCTGATGTAACTGATGCCCCAGGCTAGTTGATCCTAACATAAAAAGATTATTTGAATGGGTCTGATCCAATCAAATGAACTCTTTAAAAAAAAGAGTTCTGACTTGTTTCTACATATCACAGTGAATCTGCTAAGAGCTAATTAAAAATTAAAATATTAATTTGGATTTAAAAAAAGAAAAAAGAGTTTCCTGGCTGATGGCACTCCCATGGGAGGCCTAGAAGAAGCTCCTGGTTCCAGACCAGCTCAATTCCAGCTGTTGCGGCCATTTGGGGAGTGAACCAGCGGATGGAAGACCTCTCTCTCTCTCTCTCTCTGCCTCTGCCTCTGCCTCTCTGTCACTCTGCCTTTCAGATAAATAAATAAATCTTTAAAAATAATTGAGATGGGGCCAGCCTGTGGCTCAGCAGGTTAAGCTGATGCCTGCTATGCTGCATTCCATAGCGGAGTTCAATTCCCAGCTACTCTGCTTCTGATCCAGTTCCCTGTTAATGTGCCTTGAAAAGCATCAGAAGATAATCTAAGTGCCTGGGCCTCTGCCACCCATGTGGGAGACCCAGATACAGTTCCAGACTCCTGGCTTTGGCCTGGTCAAGCCCTGGCCGTTGCGGCCATTTAGGGAGAGAACCAGCAGATGGAAAATCTTCTATGTTTTCCTCTTCTCTACCATCTGCTCTCCAAATACATAAATATTTAAAATATATATAAGTAAACAAAACAATTTTGAGAATATGCAACTGAATATACTATCTCATTATCTTGGTACACGTAGCTCTCACAACTGCAGTGAAATACCACTTTATGCTTTGCTGGCCATGTTTAAAGACATGTTGTCTGTACCTTGTCCCCATTTTCCTATTGTAGTTCACTCACTGCTTTGTGGCAACTCACACAAGCTCCTTATAAATTAGGGCAATCAGTTATGGGCACAAAAAAATTTTCACACTTTGTTTCTTCTGATTTTGCCTATTATACAGAAATTTTCATTTTAGAAGAGATAGGTTAGTCTTTCCCTTGGGGATTTCTGGGTTGTATTTCATGCCTAGAATCTTCCTGGAACGAACAGGAGCCTCCAACTGTCTATCTTCCTCTTTCTCCTTCTTTTTTTTTAATGAGACGGTTCTATTCACTGTTCTTTTAGGAATCCCTGCCTTTCCACAAACTATCTTGTTTCTGAAGCTCTGTCACAGGACACGATGCCCATCTCTGTTTCCCAGAGCAGCAGGGACAGACACACACAAGTCAGAGCCTCCACCTCTGCCGATTCATCTGGGGACACAGTCCTCGGGCCAGCAGTGAGAGGCCCGGCTCCCATAATCCCTCCCTGCAGAACACAGACGTCCACTTTATCTTTTAGGATGACAAGTGCTGAGAGACGGTGGTTTTGCCTTCTTTTGTCTTTCATGGAGCCATCTAGGCATCCCCACCGGGCACTCTGAGTATCGCACACAGAATGAGGAACAGCAACAGACCGGGAGGGGGGAAAGGAAGGCTGAGGGAAAAGGCTTTGCACACGACAGAGACACTAGGACTGGGCCTTTATTTTATTTTCATTTTCTTCTTTTTTATATAGAGATAGGAACCTATTAGACTGTGATAAATGCCACTTCTCACAAAGTCTGACAGATGTCTCCGGCCTCCGAGTGAGTAGCAACCTGTTGGCTCCAGGACATTAAGACAAACGCACTCAGCACCAGGACAACATGCTTCTGTTTGCCCTCTCCTCCGATTAAATTCAAGCATTCATGTTGAATGCTACACCCACACAGAGAAAAGAAACATAATTAAAAGGACCATTAAAGTCTTAACCACAGTTACTCTCTTCTCAATATTGGAACTGCAGAAAATCACAGCAATAAAAGACTAATCAACGGGCACATAAAGGATGGTGAAATCACTACAAAACACTGCAAAGAGGACTAAGATTCGATTTTCAAAATCACTACTATATGTAAAAAAAAAAAAAACCACAATTCACCGATCACTTAGCATCTAGCGTGAGGGCATTTCAAAGGATTCATGGAAAATACAGTCAAAAGATGAGTGGATATCGACGCAAACAATTTCTGCGAGCCGTGCATACTCATATACACTGCCAGGCAACGTGTTGACTGCTGGAGGATGACAGATCTTTAGAAAGATAAAATGCCAGCTCCCAAGTAAGTATTTGGCCTTGCCGAAGTCTCTGTGGGCTTTTGCTATTATGTCAATGATGTAAGTCTCAAGAGTATTAATGTTTATAATATAAATAACTGTGTACTCATCACACTGCTTTGGAAATATTGTGAACTGTTTTCCTGTCTCCCAGCTACATTCCCCTCATGCTTTCAGAAGTAACTACCGTCTTGAAATTGAACTTGGTCTTGGTCTTTAATACTGCCATGGCTTCCTTTAGAGCTTACCACAAACATATGAGGGGACTTCAACAATTTCGAAGAAAATCTGCATTCTCTTTTTTTTTTTTTTAAAAAAAAAAACATTATTTGAAAGTCAGAGTTATGGAGAGTCAGAGGCAGAGAGAAAGAGAGACAGAGACAAAGTCTTCCATCTGCTGGTTCATTCCCCAAATGACTGCAACAGCAAAGCTGGGCCGATCTGAAGCCAGGAGTTTCTTCTGGGTCTCCTATGTGGGTTCAGGGCCCAAGGACTTGGGCCATCTTGCACTGCTTTCCCAGGCCATAACAGAGAGCTGGATCGGAAGTGGAGCAGCCAGGACTTGAATTGGCACCCATACGGAATGCCGGCACTGCAGGCAGTGGCTTTACCCACCATGCCACAGTGCTGGCCCCCTGAACTCTCTTTTAATTCCAGTTTTTTTCAAGGTCTCTGAAGCACCTTTATATAGTTAATATGTGTTACACAATGAATGTAATATATAGAATATAGTTATAGATGTAGGTGTCGAGGTACAGCAAGTTAAGCTGCAGCCCAGGATGCCCACATCTGATATCAGTGTCTGATTCAAGTCTGGCTACTCTGTACTTCTGATCCAGCTTCTCGCCAATGCACAGGAGAGGAAGCAAGTGACAGCCCTATAGTTGAGTGCCTGCCACAATGTAGGAGACTGGAATGAAATTCTAGGCTCTTGGCTTATTGTAGACATTTGAGGAGTGAATCTGTAATTGGAAAAATCTGTTTCTCTCTTTCCCTCTCTCTCTGTCACTCTGCCTTTCAAATAAGTAAATCATTTTATAAAATAAGAAGGTAGCTGTAACACATATAATACACTTATATTCCCACACAAATATCACATGTGGCAGCATGTTAACTGTGTATGAGTGGTTTAAGCAATATTCTTTTGTGACTTGCTTTTATTGCCCAATACTCTTCGTTTCAACCACACAGACATGGGCTGCACTAGTGTTTTTCATGAGCTGTGTCCCAACTCATCCATTTTCCAATGGATGGACATTTTTTTAGGTTGTTTCACATGTTCATCCAACACGAATGAGCTATGAGCAGCCCAGAACGCGTCGTTCTGCAAACAAGAGCTTGTCTGAGGCTTTACGAGGGACAGGCGTTTCTGGATGTGAGTGCTCATGTTACGGTATCACAACTTTATCAATTTATCCTGTTTCCTTTACCAACATTGCTGTATTACTCTGGAAAAATTAAAATTTCATTTCTATGGAGCACCCACCTCTCTCTCTCCCTTCTCTCCAAACATCTAACAACTCTCACTCTCCATGTGAGAGAAGCCACTGACTGCAAGGACCGCCTTCTGGGGCAGATGCCAGCCTGGCACTTGAATAGGAAATTAAGGTCACCTGAAAGCCCATGAGTGTCAAACTGAATGTGCACGGAGGACCATGGAGACCCAGCTAACAGTACATCCTTCCTTTCATCTCTCACAATCATACAGACAGAACCTCTTCAAATCCTTAAGACTCCCCCGACAGCTTCACCTTCATCGGCCCTTCCATGCCTCTGTTCTCTGGTACAGTCAAGCACACAAAACCTACACTATCGCCATCCATGGGAATCCTTCCCCATGCTCTATTCTACCTGCCAGAGTCTTGCCTATCAGTCCATATCCTGGGCAAGTGGCTCCTTCAACCTCTCCCTCCCACGCGTTGCTCATTGGAATTAATCCTTCTATTCTTTGCATCACTTTGGATAGATTTGGGTGGGGGGGTGGAAGCATACAAAGCAGTCTTCTTTGCACAGCTCTCATAGTTTAGTTCTATTTTCCTTACAATTCTGTGAAGTACTTGAGGTCAATGGCCTCATCTCTTGAATCTTCAGCACTTCCACAATGGCTACAATCATACAACAACAAAGAAAGCTCAAAAAATTGGTGGAAAATGGAATTAAAAGTTAAACTTTGTGTATAGAAACAACTTGGAAATCCTGGTATTTTCTCTTAATATGCATTTTCATGAACTTCCTGAAGACTCCTCATACATTTCAAAAGTTTTTGCACGAGCATAAACTTTTAATTTAATCCCATTTTCATAAAGTCTTTGAGCTCTCCTCATACACACGTTCAATTATAGGGAGAAACATACTGAACAATTAACACTAACCCACTCCTGCACTTCCCAAAGATATTCCTAACATTGAAACATGTCTTATGTCATCTAAAAAAAAATCACAAAGTGGTGAAAAATAATTAAGGAAGATCCCAGATTTAAAAAGTTATTCCACATTTCAGAGACCAAGCACTCAAACAGAGGCTAAAGACAGGTTAACCTATCAGAAAGAACTTAGTGATAAAATCACAGGAAAACCAAGATGCCAAGACATGTCTAAGTCTCAAAATGCCTCGGTTATTAGTAAAACAAACAAACAAACAAGGAAATAAAACAAAACCCAAGAAAAGGGAATCAGTTACCTGCATGAGCAGAGAGAGGTGAGTGCGGTCGAGGCAATGCTGGTGACTGTCCATTGCCTATCAAGCTTTTCCGGTTGCTTGTTCGGCAACTGTCAAAAGGAAAGAAGCAAAGTGTGGAATTTTAGAACTGGGCATCAACAGTGTTCAGGCAGGTTCACAGTAGACATGTACTAGACTGAACAACCCATCTGCTCAATTAGCACAAGTATTGCAGATTACCATGTATTCACTTTGATTTGAGGGTGGGTGATTCTTGAATATTAGGAACTCTGATACATTCACACAGCATAACACCATCAATATTCCTCACCACCAGTGAAGCTATAATCAAATCCCTTCTTTGGTCCCTGAGAGGAAAGATGTGACATGCTCTACACAGGGGTGATAAATTAAGGATTCAAATCAGCAAACCACAGGTAGCATCTTTGTTGACATGAAATCTCTAACACAAAATTACATGCAATGAGGCGCAGTGACATCAATCTTACAATGATGCACTAATTAAAAATCTAATTATTTAAATTTCATATTTATGCCTTTTGTTAATAGAACAGCCGATGCCTAAGATAAATGTATTTCACCACTCATTCATTTTTCATCTTGTACACTACACTCCAATTTCGTACTAAGGTGAATGTTTCAGAGGGATAAAATGGATTCTGGTAGACGGGAATAGCAGTGATGTCTCTTTTTTCATAAGCATACAAACTACAGGCTTTGACCGGAGCACCTAGTGAGTAGAAATGAATTATTCCATGTAGACACAAGGTAAATATATTTTTCTTGTTTCTGCTAACAGGAAGTTATAAAATGGCTAATTTGACTTCAACAGAACATTAACAAGCCTGGAAAGACTATGGCAAACACCAAGCCATTTGATGGTAAAGTGGAAGTTGGTTATCTTCATTTGCTTTTCTTCAATACAGATGGCCACTTCATTCTCTATTCTCCATACAGCAGTTAGAACAGGGGGATAAGGCCCAACAAGTTTGCCCGTTCGATTAGCCTAGAATAAGAGTCAGCACCCAATGACCATCCTCCTGCCCCGCTACTGGCCTCAACCACCAAGAAGAGTTTATTGCAATGCCTCCTTAATTCGGAACAGATTGCATTTATTCCAGGATCCCAGGAAGGAATGTTCACCTGGCTTCTGCAGGAAGCATGGGGAGCTGACATTTTTCAGGGTTCAAATACAACTTTTGAAAGGGACGCTTCTAAATATTCAAACAATGCATTTCAAACCCAAACCCAATTTCTTTCTGCAATATTGACCCGGGAGCCAAACCTCTCTCCTAGATGTTTGTTGTTTATTATCATTTGTCAACATCCTCACTTTCATTATCCCTTAACTTCGGCTACATCATTTTGCTTTCCGTGCTGACCAATCAACATCTACTGGCATTATCTGTGAGTTCCATTAAGATCATGTTTACTCAGCCTTAAAGAAATTGAATAAGAATAGACCTTTGATACTTAATTATGAAGGTGAGTTGTGATACTATCAACTCATCTGTCAAGGACTATGTTAGACATATTAAATTCACAATCACATAATCAGATCATTAGATAGCTTTTAAAAGATGCTGTGTAACATACTTAGTGTTAATTCAAGTTTATGTTCCCTTTCATTTTAATATAGGAATATTAATATATTAACTTGCTGATGTTAATAAAAGAAATTAAAAATGACATAGTTATATCCTGGGAATCTCAGCAAACTTATCTGAGCAAAATTTCAGCTTAATTATGAAAATGGCCATTTGTACTTTTTCACATTTAGTACTTAATCTACATGATTCATAAATATTTTCTATATATTTTAATTACTAATATGTATATATCTGTAAGTGAAATTAAGAAGAAAGTGTATCAATAGTAACCTAACAAATATCTTAACTAGGAATGTCAGTGGAACATACTGACTTCCTTAAAAGTAAAATTTAGGGAGCTGGCACTGTGGTGTAGCAGGTAAAGCTGCTGCCTTCAGTGCCAGCATCCCATATGGGCACTGGTTCGAGTCCTGGCTGCTCCACTTCTGATCCAGCTCTCTGCTATGGCCTGGGAAAGCATAGAAGATGGTCCAAGTCCTTGGGCCCCTGCACCCGCGTGGGAGACCCCAAAGAGGCTCCTGGCTCCTGGCTTCTGGCTTTGGATCGGCGCAGCTCCAGCCGTTGTGGTCAATTGGAGAGTGAACCAGCAGATGGAAAACCTCTCTCTCTCCCTCCCCCTGCCTCTCCTCCTCTCTCTGCATAACTCTTTCAAGTAAATAAATAAATCTTTTTTTTTTTAAAAAAAGGGAAATTTAGAAAATGATATTTTTTTAAAAGATGGTCTGCTTTTTTTTTAAGATTTATTCATTTATTTGAACATCAGATTTACACAGAGATAGGAGAGGCAGAGAGAGAGAGAGAGAGAGAGAGAGAGAGAGAGGTCTTCCAACCACTGGTTCACACCCCAACTGAGCTGGGCCGACACGAAGTCAGGAGCCAGGAGCCTCTTCCAGGTCTCCCATGCAGGTGCAGGGCCCAAGGACTTGGGCCATCTTCCACTGCTTTCCAGCCACAGCAGAGAGCTGGATTGGAAGTGGAGCAGCTGAGTCTCAAACCGGTGCCCATATGAGATGCCAGCGCTGTGGGTGGCAGCTTTACCCACTAAGCCACAGTGCTGACCCCAGAAAATGATATTTCTTTAAGAAAACCTTGAAAAAAACTGAACTTTCCTAAGAAATATAAAGTGACTCAAACACTTTAACAAGCCGCACAATATTCAATTTAAATTCAAAACAAAAAACATAACATTTTAAAAAACCTTAAAAGAAATATCTAAATAAAACTCCTGAGTTTTTATTTAAATAATCAGAGGACTATCTTAATGGATAAATGTTAAGAACAATTGAAGCACCATAGATAATTCAAAGTATCTTCTCTAACTTCTTTAGCAGCCTTCAAAGTGAAGCTAGAGATAGTATTTAAACTATAACAGACTTGGAACTTTCTGGAGTCTCTCAACAATTAGGAAACTTTGAAATAATAAAAGGTTCCTAACACAGTAAAGCCAGAATTTTAAAATACAGAGCAAAACAGATTTTGATGTGTATACAGAATGAATCTCTCTTTACAAATAAGTACATTAACATACTTCAGGGTTAACGGGCATTTCACACAGCACTTAACCTTGAAATATCTAGATTTTGGTACACTAACATTTTGTAAAATCGGAGGACCTTACTGAAGCGCTTCATAGATAAATTCTCCAAGGCAGAGGAGGGACAATCATCTAACCTCAATGCTGCTGACTGGTATCTCCGACAGACATCAGGTACCAATGGTCACAGGACCTGTCAACAAATGAACTGCAATCTGCACTTAACTCAGTTAAGAAAACCCCAGGCGGGCAGGACTACACGTACTTGCTGCCTACACTGCCACAGCGCCTGGCACGGCTCACTTCAACAACGACATCAGTGCAAAACGCTGAGCTGACTTCTGTCGTCATTATTTATTCATTCGGATGTCATAGGCTTTCCGCCCATGAAAGGAGATGTCGACAGCGTCCAAGCGGGAGGCAGGCTGTCCAGGTGTGTGACCACAGCTCCTCACTTCACACAGAGACAACAGGGTGGGAACATCTCCACTTAGGCCAAACACAGGTGCCTTCCCTATGCATGCCTTAGGTCGATTCCCTTTTGTTTTCTTTTTGCTCATGCAGAGTTACTCGAGAGAAAAACAGATGATGTCCCATAAGGCAAACCAGGAACAGGGATCTCTCCTAGCAGTGATCTCTGGTTTACAGTTCATCCTCATCCAATCATTCAGATTATGGGGTTATCTCTAGTTTTCAGCCCTAGGGGCACAGGCACAGGACCACAAAAAGGAAACTCAAGAAAAGCTATGAACTCCTTTCAGTTACTCCATCGCCAAATGCACCCTTGTAACTTCATCCTTCAAGAATTAATGGCAGCCATTCGCCTTGCCTATGCTCCGATCAGAGAGCCAAATGCAGGAAACCCATGCCCCACAAAGCACCGCCTCCTCGCGTTCATTCTCCAGTTGAAGTAACACATGGAAAGACTTTTCCTGTGGAGAACACGCCAAGCCTGTTCACTGAATTTGTAAGATGTCCACCCCTGTTCCATCAACACAATGTCACAGAGTCTTTCCTTGCAAAAACCAGAAATTAGCCTGAGAAGACAATCGTATGGAGACACTTGTCATCACGGCAGAGCTAAACAACGGCTGATGACCACAAGCCAGCATTCGTCAATAGCTCACCCACTTGGTTCCTCCCTGGAAAGGTCCCCCTTGGGACAAACGGGAAGCACTGAGGCACAGTTCTTCCGCGAGCTGGGTGCAGGAAGTGCTCCCCACTGACTGTGGGCCTGGGCTCTTAGGGGAGGGGGAAGGTGGGAAGACAAGACAACGATTGCACTTTTGAGGGAGCAGAACTGACCCCTGAGGGCTGGGAGGCAGGCAGGCAGGGACAGAGCAGTGTGCAGAAGAGGGTCACAGCTGGACAGGCGCTGGGTGGAGAGGCCCCTGCACGGAGTACGCTATTTGCATGGTTTTTGCTTACCCAAAAAGGTGAGGATCAAATAGGGGCCACTCCTACCTGAGATCATTATCAACCACCACCAAAGCAGTTTCACCAGGAGCTTCTCAATCTTATAATTACCCCCAACAGTGCCTTCCATTTGTTAGGAAGAAAAAGTCACCTTCTAAGTCCGGCCTACGTGGGGTGAGCACAGGAGGAAATGTAGGCACTAAGATGGGGGGCGGGTCTGTCTTTCTCCCTCTCACTGTCTAACTCTATCAAATAAAAAAAAAAAGATGGGGGCGGGGCAGGTGGAGCATGCATTTTGGGCCATTTCTGCCTACACTGTCCTTTTGCTCAGGGCTCCTTAAGAAAGTCAGGGCAGGACTTGTCCACAGATGTTTCACATCTGTGTCAGTCGGCCTTCTCCTGGCAAACTGCTAACCATGCCCTATCAGGTCTCTAGGATCTAGGAGGCCCAGGGTACTGGGCCTTTTACCATTGTTCTGAGCAACTGAATGAAATAAAGCTTAATTTTAAATTACCTTCACCTTGAGAC